GTGCAGTTACTTAGGACAAAAAGCCACGTTTTCTCGCTAGTTTTCGAGTATTTTTGTGTAAAACACCCAGAAATGTCACGGAAATTTACATGATCTACATTTTGTCCGGATACTTTTGGCAGGTGAGTGTATATTTCTTTTTAAAAGTATTGATTTTATAATATATATTTAAGAACAAATAAAGCAAATAAATTTATTATGACTTTTACATTATAAATGTTAATACAAATTATACACTAATTATAAAATACTATATAATATTTTGTATTTATATATATTCTAAGTATATCGTTCTTCTTGTTCCGCAACTTGCATCATTTCAAGAAATGGATTATTCGCTCCACAACTTCGTTTTGAACCAAATTGATGTCTTTTGAAGGATCTAGATAATTTAATGTAACTGTCACTCCAAATGCAATGTAATTTTTTTCTGTATTTGGATCAGTAAATGCACGATCAACAATTAAATTAAGATAGGTATAAGTTGGATTATTGAACTCAACAGGTTTATCTATATAACATTCCCGGGTAATTTCAGCATTCTTAATTGGTGGTCCGGCGATCAATGATAGAAATTTGTTATGCAGATCCGGGATATCAAAAAATATATTTTAAATTAAAAATTCTTTAATAATAATATTGGTATAAATTAAAAAAACCCCGTTTTCAGATTTTTAGAAATATAATAATAATAATGATCATTATAGACTTTTTGATTTACATTGTATTGCCAATTTGAATCGGAAAACAATTTCCCTAAATAGTAAAAGTATATACTGTATATTGTAAAAAGTTACATGAATAAAAGTTTGCGGATGAGGTTTAGTTGCTTTTGCTTTTGATAATTTTTTGAATTTGTTCTGGAGAAAATCTTTTACCCATGTTAAATAAAGATCTAGCATATTGACCTTCTGAAAGCTACTGGATATATCAGCTATTGTATTTATTTTTCCTTATTAACCCAATAAAAAAAACTTATTGAAATAATTTTAAATAATTTCTATAGACGATTTGAAAAAGGATGAAGGCGGGACAAAATTTTCTAAAAAATAATTACCATTTTGCAAGGTTTTTTTTATACAGGTAATGAATGCTATACAAAGTTGGATAACTTGTTATTCTGCAACATACAAGACTGAATTAACAACAATGAATAATTCGTAATAAGTTTTTTTGAATTTAAAATAATAAAATTCATTATTTATTCATAAACATAGTTGAGAATTACTATTAAAACTAGCTACATTTTTTTTTTTGTAATGTTGCAATTCTATTAATTTTTTCATAAAATTCATATATGTATTTTACGTGGAATCCACAGCGGCCCAAAACCAAGTTCTTATCTACAAATCTTGCATGATTTCGTGTGACTTTGCATAACGAAAGTACAAAATTTTATAATATGCAACTTTTGTCACTTTTTAAATTTTAGTGAGTTTCTATTACTATCGTTGATCAACGGACCACGAATTAACGTTTTTTACAATTATTTTGTAACTTTTTGATTTATGAAAGCAAATTTCAAATTTCAAATTTATATTCACGTCTACAACGGAATTTCGTTTAAAGAGATAATTAATCAACATTAATATTAAGCTTTTTTTTTTATTTACCTCTTTTAAAATGTATAAAATTTTATCACGAGAATTATATAATCTTTTTAATACAACACCCATTTTTTACCAGAGTGATGATCAAACTATACATGAAGTCGAAATTGAAACCCAAACTACAAAAGTCGAAATATTTCGACCTGGGAGATCAAAGTAGTCGAAATGGTTGAAATTACATCATACAACAAGCTGAACATACAGAAAATTAATCAAAGCTTCAAATCCTCATAACTTGGTCAATATCTGGCTATTTTGAATAAAACAACTATCATTCGGATTCTCTAAATGAGGCAAGTCTAATGAGATGTAATTAGAACCACTGATCATTGAGATATTTTGGTTTACCATAATCTTACAATAACTCGCCATTTATTGATGCTGTGGACCATTATTCGAATTGTCTTTATGAGACCATTCTAATGAGCTGTGTTTTATTAAATTTGGATCACTGGTTCTCAAGATAAATAATTTTGAAATTATTAATTATAATAAATCATGTGATATGACCATTTCGACTCCCGAAATTAAATCAGTATTAGTATGGACCAAACCACACTCTTATAAAATATACTTTCACGTGACAATTTCCCGCCCAAAATTTTGCCATCCCCTTCCTCCACTTTATTAGTATATAATATATTTTGTGACTCAATAAATTTTCATTGGAAAAAAAAGTGTCATCCAAAAATGATGGATCCCTCTCTTATCCTATTTTAATACCAAATAAATAACGCGTTTTTATCTAAAGAATGAGAGGGGACCCGGAAGCTTTAGATCCCAAAAACGCCAAGAGTAAAGTTGATAGTAAGGATACGAATATCATTACCAAAAATACAAAAATCTTGCTTTATTAAAGATATTAAAGATATTTATTATCAATTAGCCAATAAGATGTTAGGTAGGATCTTAATGGTTTTCTTTGTTTGAAAAACGCGAAAATTATTAAATCATTAATGATGTAAAAATGATGATTTTCTTGGCGATTTATTAAAAATGTATTGTTTACTTTTTACCCCTATTTTATGATTAATAATAAATAACAATATTATTGTTTTTCTCTCACAACAAGAAACTCTAGGACCACTTTCAACAGCAAGAAACTTCAAGACTCTCGACGGCAAGACCTTCCATCATTTATTATTGTTATGATAAACAATATTTCACTCATTTCTGGTGATTCTGTAAGAAATATATATATATATATAAATATTGAGAAAATCTGTTTTATTTTATTATTATTTATTTGTTTTCTTATTTTTCATAAAAGGTCATGTAAAATGAAAGAGCAACTCTATTGCCAAGAACTGTTTTCCGCGCGTTCAGCCCTTAAGTAAATTTTCTCAGCACTTACACTTCCTCAATTTGTCTCCAACAAAGCTGTAAACAGCTTCCTCTTCCAGAGGTTTTATTGCGAGGCATCACCAAACTTTACCCATAGAATAAAAGGGTCAGACATTTATTTATCCCAAATGGCAGTAAGTATAAAATTAGTAACAAATATGGGTTCTATTAATAAATTAATATTTTTGAAATTAGTATATTAACATATAATAATATTATCATTATTAACTAATTACAGATGGAGTTATACTATCTGGAAATAGTGGATTTGGTTTGTGCATGTTGTCAGAAAATAAAAAGTATGTGTATACCTCTCAATTGAAGAAATCAAATGATAATTTGCTCTTGATATTGAAATTAATTGTAACCTAATTTACATATTTTGTTAGGCGGTTTTATATCACTTTATACACTTTCATCACCTCCATCTCCATTTTATCACACATTTTCACCTTCACCTTCATCTCCACTCCATCTCTATTTTATCACACACTTTTATCTTCATCTTCATTCATTTTCATCCCCATCTCCACTTTCATTTTCATCCCCATCTCCACTTTCATTTTCATCCCCATCTCCATTTCACATCCATCTTCACATCCACATCCACATCCACACTCTTTCTCTTTTTTCCATCACCACTTCCATTGCCACTTTAATTTCCACTTTCATCCTCGTGATTTCTCATCTTCCCAACCGCTTTTTATTTTCCTTTGTTGAGGTTTATGCTAGTCTTTTGTAAGTGTCAGGTAAATAATCAATCAAATATATTATTTATTTAACAATAATTGATCAATTTATTGTAACATAGTGTTAATCATTATATTCCTTTATTTTGAAGTTAGGACGACTTTTAATTTGTGTGGGCGCACATTAATCTCAAAAACAGCCATAAGAAAAATTCTTAATTAGAGAGGAAGTACAAAGACAAAGTGCTAAGTGATGAGGAAAGGCAGTTTTGGTGTTTGTGATTTTATCCAGATAGTTTGTGGTAATTAATTATCTTTGATCATTAAAAACTTATCAATTTATTGATACTTTGCTGATTTGTATTGTATATTGTTATACCCGTTGTTATAACACTATCAATCCTATCTTATTCATTATTATTCTCTCCTTTATCATTATTGTCCTCTCCTTTATCATTTTTGTTGTCATTTCATTTTCTTCTTCTTTCAATAGCTCTTTTACTTACTTGGTGTGGAAGGCAGAAGACTTACGGTACAGACTGGATGAAGGTTTGGTAGTGAAGTGGACTAAATTTAAATTTAGTGACAGTAGTTATTTTAAAAATAAAAATATAGTATATTTAGTATTAGGATTAGAATTAAAGTTAGTATTAGTATTAGTATTAGAATTAAAGTTAGTATTAGAATTAGAATTGGAATTAGAATTAGAATTGGGATTAGAATTGGAATTGGAATTGGAATTAGAATTAGAATTGGAATTAGAATTAGAATTAGAATTAATATTAATTTAATTTCGTGTAATAATAATATATGTAATAGTATTAGTAGAATTAGTCTTAAGTTAAATTTCTTTAATACTAATTAATTAATGCCTTTAGTCCGCTTCTTAAGAAACTACCATAGATATGGCTATTTTACTGTTATCGTTATTATATTAATTGTTAGATTAGCTAATAGATTAGTTGGATAATCATGTTAATAAAATTATTATTGTTCACATTAGAACTATAAAAAAACTGACATTGGATCGTGTAATGAATATTTTAACTTTTTAATAACTCCATAACGATTTTTGGGAAATTTCTAGCATGAGTTTTAAAAAATTATATACATAATAATATTCAATGAAATAATTTTCACGAATTTCTATTAGAAGCAAAGGAATTTAAATAGTAACTTCGCTTTATTAAAAAAAAAACTTTCTTCCAATACAATCGTAGATGAGACTCTAACATTAGATGTAAAATCAAGCATAGATTGTTGCTTAAACATGTGGCATCTCTAATACATCAATACTTAAAGAGGTATTCTTTATGGAATTATTAAACTATTTTTATATACAATTTAATTACAGGTAAGTAATTTCTTACTCTATTATGAATAAAGGCTATTGTTTATATTACAAATTTAAGAAAGACTCCAGGTATATATAACGTTCTTATTCATATCTATCTATCAATACTTGTTTTTATTAATGATGAATGGACATGGATATACTGACAAATATTTAATAAATATTATTACTTATAATCAATTCATAAATAGAACATTTATGCAAATTTTTTTGATTTAACTTTCTCTCTCTAATGTAATGGCATCAAATATAATAATGGCAAATTAAAAGCGGTAGTAGCATTAGCAGTGGCAGTAGCAGTAGCAGTAACAACAGCAGTAGAACAAGAATAAGATGACAGTGGTAGTGGTAGTGGTAGTGGTAATATAGGAATAAACTCTCGTGTATATATATTTATTTCCACATTAAATTTTTTGTTCATATAAATCTTGATTTTCCCTGAAATTTTGGTAAAAATCTAAATTTTATTATTTTGTCACGTTTATATCAAACTTCCAAGAAAATTCAGTATTTAATTTTTATCATTTTATTAAAAATTTCATAGAGAAAATACGGCATTTGATTATCATAATTTGAAGCAACATCTGATTTTGGTAAGTTTTTTGCTGATAAAGTTCAATGACTATTTTAGATATAGCATAAGCTTTTTTATTATAAGTTGTATCCAAATCAGGTAAGACAATTTTTACATGATAATTATGGGCATTAGTGTATACGTAGCCAACCCATTAGTCCGAACCCTGTTAATCCGAAAATCCCGTTAAATGAATAATTTTTAAAACACCACCCCGTTAATATGAATGTCAATAATGAAACTTTATAAACCATAAACCAAAGAAATTTTTAAATTTTTTGAAGCCATTTATATGTAAAATTGCCCCGTTAATTCGAATTTTTATAAACCAAAGATTAATTTTTATAAAACGAAGTGAAATAAAAATTGGCCAATAATAATAATATACAAGTTATAGAATACATGTGTACAAAAATTACCAGGGTAGGTTTTCCTCTAGTGCAAACAAGAGGAAAAAAAATCTACTGAAAAAGAAGTCGAGGTATCAAAAAGAAAACATATGCCTATAACAATCTCATAAAAAATAGAAATATGCATTGAAAAAAATAAAGACCCAAACATAAAAAACAACTAGCTTGCATCTAAATATAATGTCATCGATTCTATTCATGATCAGATTGGTAAAAATCGCCATAAAAAACTAATGAAACAGTCACTGGCGAGGTGCCAAAATTAAAGTAGATTTTTTGCTGCAAGTAGTCAATCATTAATGATAATATTTCAATGAATTAATTATATCCCTCTCATATTATCTATTAGTTAGTAGTTCACCAAGCAATCAAACTCGACATACACATCAATGGTCTGAATAATCCTTGCCGCTAGCAATGACATTTTCCGAAGAGGTTATGAAGTTATGTTTAAGATTTCACGCCAAGTGTATAATGCTTTCGAAAGAAGACAAGGATAAAAAAGACGTGGAGATATCAGTAGCAGTTTACAAGAAAAAGTGTCACGTTTCATGATTCTGAAGGTTTGTATGTTGATGAGAAGCGAAAAGCTATTGTTGCAAATAGGCATTCTTAAATCCAAGGAATTTATCATCATCATCCAACAGCACAAATAAAGAACACAAAAGTTGCCTCCATCACTAAAAGATTGAAGGGTATAGAATCAAGATTATTTCACAGTTTATTATCATCATCATCAACCACAACAAATTCCATGGATATCTTCGGCATTATCTTCTTCCTTGTCAACTTTCTCTTCAAAAACACGTTTGATGTTGTCTTCCTCCGTTTATCAACAGCAACAACAGAAGCAACAGTTAGAAGTGGTAAAAGATCCTGATTATAATGAATAGATGTTGCCGTTACTAATATCAACGATAAAAAGGTTTCAACTGAAAATAAACAAACATGAAATAAAAAAAAAAAAAAAAAAGCAGAAAATAAAATTTAACAACTGAAAACGTTGTTAAAACAAGCATGAAAATGATGACCAAAATCTTTTATGAAAGAGAATGTTCAAATAAAGAAGGTCCTATATACGATCTTGATGAAATACGAAGATTGTTCCAAGAAATAAAACCAAGCTTGAAGGGGTTTTTTGACCAACTCTATTTAGCAGCTCGGCCATTTGAACGTAATGAACAAACAATTGACTGTATGATTAACGGTGTTTATATGTTAATACAAAACTTAAGTTCGACCTTGCATTCTATTTAGATTCGGTAGGTACTACCACTATCCTTTGATTACTAAAACTTCATCTAATGGTGGTGTTAATTGTATTCTTTAGTTTACGAAATAACCAATCGTCACCTTCCAAGAGGCTTTGTTACTTCTAGGAAGTCATCTACAAACATTTTTTGCAATTACGTATATTGTGATTACACTAACTATACTAATTTGAATAATTGTAGTGTATATGCTCACGTGTGGACATGGGTATCACAATCATTGTCTACAAAGGTGCCGATCTAAATGTTTGATATCTTCAAGTCGAAATCAAAAAAAGTCAACGCACTAAAGAAAGTAGGACGAAAAGATTAAACTAAAATGAGTTTATTGAAAATATCGAAAATACAGTTGATAATGATCCGGGTAACGTTGAATCAGCAATTGATGGATAGCAACAATGGAAATTTTATTAGAACATGCAAAAAAAACATTTTTTAGGTTGTAAATTTTGTTTTTATTAAATAAATTTGTACATTGTTCATGTTTTGTCTCAATCGTATATCTTAAATATTGGTTGTATTTACAATCATTTTACCGACATTCATTATACTAAGGTTATTTTGATTATATCGAAAAATATGGTCAAGAGAAGAGTTATGAAGAGAGTTATTCTTCAATCAAGCCGAAAACCATCCCTTTAAAAACATTTTCGAGTAGTACGATTTAATTTATTAGACTATTTCAAAGGTTTATCGCATGATTGCTCCCAACTTCTTAAATTCGAACCATTTGTTAACGAAACAACTGTTGGTGAAGTGATTGTTATCAAACCAACATTTATTTTTACGTTATCAAATTCACGATGTTGATTGGTTAATCAACAATTGCATGGGTTAAAATTTTGTTACCTGTTCTTATTCCTTCACTTAAACAAATAATTGTTTTTTATGTGGTCTTGGAATAGATAATTCTTAATTTGTTTGTTATTATGATAAAGAATTTTATGAGGTAAACATAATTTAATCATCTTTTTCCAATTCCTAGTCTCATAAAGTTCTGAAAAAAGGGTTTGATTCAACATTTTTGATAACTGATTATCCGTGTAACATAAATATTGCGATTGGATTTTATTATAAAGCCATTTAAGGAAGTGGAATGAGTCAATGATAGTGATAATGATAATGATAATGATGGAAACCATTTATAAATGAAACGGTGGTAGGGTCGAATTTTCCTTAAAATCATTGAATCATGAAGAAACTCTTGATATTTTCCACAATCAATCTGTTTATTGTCACCACTGAAGCAGCACCACCTATTGATGATCAAGGCTTTCAGGGAGACAACTTACTTGATACCTTGTTAACATTATTTTTGCCGTTATTTATTTATCTTTCTTTCTGCAAAGAATCAAAAGCTAGATACTTCGCATTAATTGCGAGGTTTCTTGTAAGATTATTTGTATACTTATATATTACATTCATAGTAATTTACTCTTTTTGACCCTTGAAAGCAAGATCGAGAAGAACACTACTTGGACAATAGTATTTATATGCTATAGTGTTATGAATTTTGTGCTCGCAGTGACTGTGTTGATTAAAGAAATTAGAACTATACTCGGAATAAAAGCAGATAATGTAGAAATGTGGTCTTTGGAAGAAAATAAGGAAATTAAAGAAAATGAGTTGGAAATTGAAATTAATCAATTAGAAGAAAATAAGGAAATTGAAGCTACTAATCTCGAAAAAAAATCAAAAAAAGATAATAACAATAAGTATAAATTTAATTTTGATTTTCAATTTTATTTATATTATTAATATTAATACAGTCAAACCTTGTCACAACGAATACACCGGACACATTAGAAAAATATTATTATTATAATTACTAATCTCGTCATATATGTATAACGCAAGTTTGATTAGAATTCACTGCAATAAGATCCGCTGTGGCAAGGTTTGATTGTATAAATAAATGAGCAAGCAATCGATTCATTAAATGTATATTTTCATTTAGTAATAACAATATACGGATAGATTTGAATTTAATGGTCTACATATCTGCACCTATCAAAACATGCATAGTTTTGGCTTTTCTAGGCAAAAATTATGATAAAATCACGACTGAGATGTTATCATGGATCATCGTTCTTTCAATAGTAACACTAATCAGTTCGTTAGGAGCAATTAAGTATGCCCTTAAAATGAAAGGACAAAATAAATGGAAAGAATTTTTGCAAAGATATAAATACAATGATCAAGATGATAACCATGAACAACATAAACGGAACAATTACGTTTGGATTTTCTTCGGTCTTTTCTTTACTCTAGTATATTTTATACGTATTCTACTTTATATAGAAATCGCCTTTTGGTTTGATTTGAATAGCTATTTAAGTAAATTATTGTGGAATGTGTTAGCATTAGATACTACTATAGTGATATTGGACCTTCTGCAAGAAGATGACGACGACACCACCAGAAATAGAAACAGAAAATTATCATGGAACGATGAAATAAAAGAAATCGAAATCGACATTGAACAATAATAGTAATAATAATAATGAAAAACTAGTAAATTGGTTTTTTTCATATAGACTAAACGTTTAGCCTATAAGACGAATCCAATTTGCTGGTTTCGTCAGCATCTTATATCTGATATATTACGTTTACATTTAACGAATATTTATAATTTTAGCATAAATTTTATTGTATTATTATTAGAATGAAATTTTTTTTCTATATACTTGGTGTAGTAGTAGTAGGACTTCTATTCGAATAAATTTTTAATTCGAATAAAATGAACGATAATAATAAAAATAATAATAAAAATTCGAATAATCCGATCCAATTAAAATTTTTTTTCTTTATCAATCTATCTTTCCTTGGTCCTCCTTGAATATAGCGATAATAATAAATAGTAGTAGCTGGCATTTTCCTTAAGTCATAATGCTAGAAACTATAATAATAATATAGATTATAAATGTAATTTTTGTTTATATTATCTTGTTAAAGGAAAAGACCTATATTTTATAAATGAATAAACTAGCTTTTTTATATAAATTAAACGTTTGTCCATTAAAAAAATCTTTGGAAGCTTATATTAGCTTATAAGCTTAAAGGAAGCTGATAATAATAACCAAAGCATAAGCTTAAATAAGCTAATAATATAAGTATATAAGTGACAAAAATTAATTCACCTCCTTCAAATTAATCGAAGTTCTTTGTGCCAATTGCTATAAATGCAATTGAAATGGTCTACTATCATCTATTATTTTATTGTCTGTTAATTTTGTCGAATTGACACAAAAAAATTTAATATTAAAGACAAGTCAAAAGCCAAATAATATTCCACAAGAAAAAGAATTCTATATATATATTTATGTCAATTGGCCCAAAAGAACAATATCTTTGCAAAAATTTTTTTTTTTTTGAATATATTATTATTATACGTATATAAATACGTTCGCAACATTCGATATCGGCAGACATTAAATAATAATACAAATTAAATTTAATATTAATATTAAGTATTAAATGACGTTTATTACGGCTTCTTAGCCCGTATGAAAAAAAATTATTCAGTAATAGTAATTTCCAAACGAAGAAGAAAAGGTCGTCGAGAATTAACAGTCTATAAAATGTATTTGTCCTAGTCTGGTATAGGTATATAAAAAAAACCAAAAAAATAAAAATCTCAACAAAAAACTTTCAAAAGAATTGCCGGCAATATTGAAAATTTTTATTATAATAAAATAAGAAATAATAAAGATATAAATAGAAATAAAAAGATTTGATTCGGAATTAGGGTATTTCGACCAACAAATCAGCTTTAAATCCTAATTACAATAACAACTGCATACAATTTGAAAAAAACAAAATTCGCTTTCATTTTTTTTTATAAATACTTTTACAGTAATCCCATACAATTTGAAAATCATGAAAAAGTGAAAAATCGACAAAAAAAATTACCTGAGCAAATCAAAATGAAATTCAATATTTCTCTTCTCTTTTTGATTATCTTTGCTGTTGTGGATTTAGCAAGTCCAATTGATAACAATAATTTGGCGAAGCGAAGTACTTCATTTATTATTATATTTACTATTACAATAAATATCATTATATTCGATATCATTGTTTTTGAAAAATACTAACTATTGGGTTTCATTTGATTTTAAATAATAAATAGTTCCGTAAGTATTTTGTACTATTATTACAGTCAATATCGTTGTTTTTGAAAACATATTAATTATTGGTTTTCATTTTATTCTAAATAATAAATAGAGTGGTAAGTATTTTTGTACTATTATTACTGTCAATATCACTATTTTTGAAAACATATTAACTGTTGGTTTTCATTTTATTTAAAATAATGGGTAGTTTGTAAGTATTCTCATCATTTCACTATTATTACAGTCAATATCATTGTTTTTGAAAACATATTAACTGTTGGTTTTCATTTTATTTTAAATAACGTGTAGCGGGTAAGTATTCTCATCATTTCACTATTATTACAGTCAATATCATTGTTTTTGAAAAAATATTAACTGTTGATTTTCGTTTTATTTTAAATAACGTGTAGCGGGTAAGCATTCTGATCACTTCACTATTGTTACAGTCAATATCATTGTTTTTGAAAAAAATATTAACTGTTATCTTTCATTTATTTTAAATAATAAATAGCCTGTAAGTATTCTCATCATTTACTATTGTTACAGCCAATATCATTGTTTTTTTGAAAACATATTAACTGTTAGCTTTCATTTATTTTAAATAATAAATAGTATGTAAGTATTCTCATCACTTCATTATTGTTACAGCCAATATCATTGTTTTTGAAAACATATTAACTGTTGATTTTCGTTTTATTTTAAATAATAAATATAGGATGTAAGTATTTTCATCATTTCACTATTATTACAGTCAATTTGAAAAAATATTAACTGTTAATTTTCGTTTTATTTTAAATAATAAATAGTATGTAAGTATTCTCATCATTTACTATTGTTACAGCCAATATCATTGTTTTTGAAAACATATTAACTGTTAGCTTTCATTTATTTTAAATAATAAATATAGGATGTAAGTATTCTCATCATTTCACTATTGTTACAGTCAATATCATTGTTTTTGAAAAAATATTAACCGTTAGCTTTCATTTTATTTAAAATAATGTGTAGTGGGTAAGTATTCTCATCATTTCACTATTGTTACAGTCAATATCGTTGATTTTGAAAACATATTAACTGTTGGTTTTCATTTATTTTAAATAATAAATAGGATGTAAGTATTCTCATCATTTAACTATTGTTACGGTCAATATCATTGTTTTTTTGAAAACATATTAACTGTTAGCTTTCATTTATTTTAAATAATAAACAGTATGTAAGTATTGTTACAGTCAATATCTTTTTTTTTGAAAATATTAACTGTTGATTTTCGTTTTATTTTTTATAGGATGTAAGTATTTTCATCATTTCACTATTATTACAGTCAATATCATTGTTTTTTTGAAAACATATTAACTGTTGATTCACGTTTTATCTTAAATAATAAATATAGGATGTAAGTATTTTCATCATTTCACTATTTTTACAGTCAATATCATTGGTTTTTTGGAAACATATTAATTGTTGATTTTCGTTTTATCTTAAATAATAAATAGTGTGTAGGTATTCTCATCATTTCACTATCGTTACAGTCAATATCATTGTTTTTATGAAAATATTAACTGTTGATTTTCGTTTTATTTTAATTATAAATATAGGAAGTAAGTATTCTCATTATTTCACTATTATTACAGTCAATATCATTGTTTTTGAAAAAATATTAACCGTTGGCTTTCATTTATTTTAAATAATAAATAGCAAGTAAGTATTCTCATCATTTCATTATTGTTACAGTTCAATATCATTGTTTTTTTGAAAATATTAAACTTGATTTTCGTTTTAATTTAAATAATAAATAGTGTGTGAGTATTTTTATCATTTCATTATTATTACACTCAATATCATTCATTGTTTTTGAAAACATATTAACTGTTGATTTTCGTTTTATTTTTAGTAATAAATAGAAAGTAAGTATTTTCTTCATTATTATTACAGCCAATATTATTCTTGATTTTCGTTTATTTTAAATAATAAATAAAAGGTAAGTATTTTTATCACTTACTACCATTACCATTGTTTTTGTAAACATATTAACTGTTGATTGATTTTCATTTTATTTTAAATAATAAATAGGCAATCAGGGCTGGAAATAGTACTTTAAAAATCCGGATTTTCCTTTAAAAATTTTTAACTTCAGAGTTGCCGGATATTTTTCCTTTTTATTTTTATTTTTATTTTTATTTTTTTTGTATATACAGATTTCCATTCACATAAAAAAATTTTATACTAAATAATGTATACTGTACATATATGTGTGTCATTACTTCAATATTTTAGAAAAGTACCATAATTTGTATCTTTTGAATTTTAAATTATTAAATATATACACTTAAATATGAATTTATGTGCATTTATTTGTTTCCCCTTATTCAAAAAAATAAATTATAAATAAATAGTATAGAATAAGAAGGATTAGATAATTTGACTACTGAAATTTTGAAACAAATATTGATGAATCAGATATAGAAGGTTCAGATGTTTTGACAATTCAAGGCTCAGATGATGATGATACTTCAAAAAAAATCAAATAAAAAAAGTGAATCAAGTGAAAACCATATTAAAATGTCAAATAAAAAAATGCATTTTAAAAATCAGGAAGAAGTTTTAAGCATGAATGGCTAAACATATATAAATGGTAAAATATGATGCAGCAATGAAGAGAATGTTTTACATAATTTATAAAGCACACGGGAAAAAAATCTATTTACAGGAAAAGGTGACAAATAAATATAATTAATTTTGTATTTTGCAATTCTTAAATTACTAATATTATAATGTTATTATTTGGGATCAAAGAGTATTTCAAAATCTACTGCTCTAGCAACTCATGCACTTTCAAACCAACATAATGGCTCTTTTTTTCTAGAAAAGAGAATAATCATGCAAGATTCTTCCAAAAAAAAACCACTAATAATGGTAACAAACGTATAATTAATATAATGAAAATGATTTACTGGATGGCAAAAGAAAATATTCCAATTTCCAAACTTCCAAGTCTTATTTATATTTTAAAACTTATAGAAATAGTGCACTCAATTCCATTTTCTAGTGTGGACTGTGAAAGAGGTTTTAGCAAACAAAACAGATTTATGTAATGTAATCACATAATAATTAATATTAATAAGTGAAATTCAAATTTACATGTGAAATTCAAATTAGCAAACTAGAATTTCACCCCACTCCATTAATATTTCAATTTCACATACAATGGATATAAAATTTTTGAGAAATGGGTTTGGGTATGGATACAAAATTTTGATATCATGCGGGTATGGGGTTCAATTATTGTTATCCATGCAGACCTCTATCTATGTTTATGTTTAGTAGAGTGGAATATTAACATATTATTTATAGTGGATATGCGAGGGTTATACTCAAGAAATATCGGTTTGTGAGTGACCAGAAGGTTTAAACGAAAGAAAGAGACTATGTAATTGGTTTATCATAACAATCTCTGGATCATAGTCGAAAAACATACACATATTGCGTCATTGCTTTATTTTTTACCAAATATAAAAGAAAAAAAAAAGAATTTTGAAATATATATCGCATAGTGCGAATACAAAGAAAAAAAATTTTTCAGTAAAGGGAGGTCTCTATAACAAGTTATCATGCGGTTGTACTAATAGTTTCATAATTCTACAATAGTTCAATCTTTATAAATATCAATAATAGCAAAAGGTGTTCCAGAGTCTCCCACTGATCCCTCGTAACGCCATCCAAAATTCATGGATCCTTGGTGATTTCTACTGTCTCCTTTATTATTAGTTACATTTTTGGACATATCGTCGAATAAATCTATATCAATAACACAAGATAAATATTGCGATAATTAAAGTTGTGGTAAGCAAACAGAATCTTTTTAGAATTATTACCGCTATTAGGCGTAATATAACCATCATAAACTTGAATGGCCCACCAATTTGAGTAAATTATGTAGTTGAATGGGATACTCCACGCAAAGGCCAAAGATTTATTTTGATTTTTGATTTGGTAGACAATAACTCCTACAGTTCCTGTAAAATAAGGCCCAGAAATCTTACGAGCACCCCAAACCAAACCTTTACCACTTGGGATCGGAGTGGGAAGCCCATAATCAGACGTTCCAGAGGAAAAGTATAGATCAGGTTGATCAAGAGTTTCTGGTGAATGATTTTTGATAGTAATAGCGATTTTTCTATTAACGTCGCTTAGAGTCTGTATACGAGAAAAAATAAAATTATATCATATATGATTATGTATTTGATTATACAACGTGAAGAAATTGATCATACAAGTAAAGATCCACTAAGTAATGTTTCGGTAATCTTTTCAATTGGAAAAACACCTTCTGCCATGATTGAGATGAAAATAGTCAAAAGTTTTGCAAGAACTTCTCATTTTATAAGTTTTTTGTACAATAGTTAATAAAAATGATTCTACAACATTTGGTCACCAATTATTGATGTAAAACTCTATTATTAATTATCAAACTGAATATGCAAGTTACGAATAAATGATAATAATGATAATAATTGCTAAATTAGGAAATTTTAAATTACGAATAAATGGTTCACTGTTTATAACGCCGACGACCATGATCTCAAATTAGAATGATAATAATTGCTAAATTAGGAAATTTTCCGTATAATATCAAATTAAATGATTCGCTATGCAACTGTTTATAACGCCAACGATCTATAATAATTGCTAAATTAGGAAAGTTTCCGTATAATATCAAATTAAGTTACGAATAAATGATTCACTGTGCAGCTGTTTATAACGCCGACGATTATGATCTGAAATCTTTCTTGACAAATGACAACTAGTAACAACTGATGATGGTGATGATTATTTCTTCAAATAAAAAAAAAGAAAATTAAAGTTAGACCAAAGAATAGCTTTTTTTGGAGCTATAAGATAAAGGTAAATGTATCTTCTGAACATCCAGATGGGATATACAATAAATAAAAAATAAAAAATAATAATCCGACTAGTAATTAAATAATTTAAATTAGTATATCCAATATTTATAATTATATTCAAAAATTTATAATTGGAATTAAAAAAACAAATAGATATTCGTAACTTACAAAAAAATAACATCATTAGAATTTATTATTAAAGATACACAACCTTTTTATATACTTAGAAGTAATAGTTTTCAAAGTTTTGTTCAATCATTAAATCTTTAGCTACAATCTACACAAGAAAAAATTGATGAGATGTTAGAGTATAATTATCAAAATATTCAAAATAATAAAATCAAATTAATCAGATTTGTCTAGTTATTTGAAATATTAATGATTATTTGAAATACTTCGAAATACTCATGACTACTCAAAATTCCATCCATTACTGAAAGTCATCTGATGTATTTCGAATATTTCGTTAATCGCGAATAAGGTTTATTCGAATTAATTGCTTATTCGCTATTATTATTATTATTATTATGAATTCGAGTATTCGAACTACATTGAAAACTTATTCGAACAAGCAAATAAAACGAATAATTTGAATAAACAAATACAGCACACATTCTCTACAACGGCCTTTTCTATAACACTCTATAACGAACAGAGAATTAGATTCCAATTTTTTACTATATAAAATCCATACTCTATTACTATAACGGTCTTCTTAATGTTAATTAAATTTCCTATAGTGTATAACGGCCTGTATCTGAAATTCGCCTATATTAATATTGTTTTACATACACAGTGAACTTTGGTTTAACGGATAGTTTGGGCAATTAATATTAGTATTAGGGAAATTTTCCAAAACCCGTTATATAGAGAAGGTTTTTATTAAAGTTTATTATGGAACCATTCTTGAAACTTCATCCGTTAAACCAAAATTTTTAATTAATATTACCGCTAAACCGAAATTCACTGTGTAACTGTTTATAACAGCAGGCGATTAGCTAATACTAAATTAAGAAATTTTCCGTATAATATCAGATTAAGTTACGAATAAATGATTTCACTGTGCAACTGTTTATTAATGGCAGACAATCGTGATCTGAAGTTAGAATGATAATAATTGCTAAATTAGGAAATTTTCCGTTTAAGTTACGAATAAATGATTTCACTGTGAAACTGTTTAATAACGGCCGACGATCATGATCTGAAATTAATAATTGTAAATTGCTAAATTAGGAAATTTTCCGTATCACGTCAAATTAAGTTACGAATAAATGATTTGCCATGTAACTATATATTTATAACGGCTGACAATCATGATCTGATAGGATCAAATTAAGTTACGAATAAATTATTAATATTAATTAAACTGAATGCATATTTCTTTATTGTTACAATATGCTTATTATTATAACAACAATACATTATCTGTCAACATTATCTTATTCACATTATTACTTCTATCTATTATAGGGATGGTGCGGTTCCAAATCGGTCGCTAATTTTAGAAAAGTTCAATCGCTTAACTATAACACCCTTTAAAATTTGATATAAATGAATTCTATTTTTCTCGCCAGAAAATCATCTCCAAAACTAGCAATTTCGTTATTTGAGATCAGTCCCAGAACCGGTTGGAACCAAATTGGAACCGTCCTATTCCTAATTATTATCGTAGTCATTCAAACACTTATCATCATAATCGAAGAATCATTATGACTTACCATAATATTGATTCATATTATTGTTTTACTGTAATTATTTGTAAATATGACATAATAACAGTCTTCTAACTTTCTTATGACTTCGTGGTGTTAATGGATTAAAAATGTGTATAAAGACTCCAATCGATGGCAATATTTTTGATCTTGAAACATAAAAAAATTGTAATACTCCAAAAAATTTGATGTATTCATATTTTATTATTATGTTTTATTATGTTTACAATAAATAAAAAGCCGTACCACATTATTTGCAAATCTCCATCTTTTTTTTTGCCAAAAACATGACTACCTTATAAAAGGTACTCTGAAACAAACGGATAGGACAAGAAAACAAACAAACAAACAAATTAAAAAGAATTTGTATTATTGTTGTTGTTATTACAACAAATAGAACTCTAATGTTCTTTTGGAGCACCAAAATTGGCCAATCGTGTTGTTATTATAATATTATGATACAAAGAATTTAATAAGCAAAATTGTTCTGGTCACGTGTCATGGGGTGTCTGATAGTAAAGACGTGCAACTTCAAACCATTAGAGCTTCTTTTTTATTAATAAAATTGAAAAAAACTCTGTATTTTATTGTTGCTAAGGTTCTAAATATAGCAAAAATAGGAGTTTTTATTTTATTAATAAAAAAAAAACCATGAGTGGTTTGAAGTTGCGCGATTTTTTTTTTTTGATGTCTTTAGATGACCAGTACCATAACGGTTACTATTTACAACGGGAATAATAATAGTAATAATTAATCATTTATGTCATTTATGGCAGTATTAATCACGGCGATAGTAATTATTTGGAACAGTAGTAACTATTTATGATAATAGTAACTATTTGGTAGAAGCTATTTGCAATGGTCAAATTTCCAAATATATTAAATATACAAATAGAGAAATCATTAGATCATCATAGTAATAGCATGTCAAAATCTAATTTAAATTTATTATTTTGGATAGATGTTTTTCTGATTGCATAAATTGACACAAATTTCAAAATTTTGTACCAGTACACGAAATTTCAAATTCACGCATAACTATATAGCAATAAAAAATTTCCAAATATATACTTATGTATTCTTTTCGAGAAATGAATGATTCGATAATAATTATTTGCGAAAAATCTTTTTCAAGAAGCGTTTCCCTCTTGATAATACTAATATTAATTTCCAAATACGTTACTTTATGTGTATGTACAAATAAAAAAATCATCAATGTTTTACATTATCCACGGTTAAAACTTTTTTAGTAAAAAAAAATAATTTTTTTATGAGGTCAAAAACGATTCTTCCGAAACATTTTTGAGGCTATAAAAACGTAAGCATTTTACACCTTCCCATCTATTAATTTTTATATGGTACCACATATAGTTTTGATTTACATAGTATATCGACCACCCCAATGATTTACTATTAAATTAACACGTGATTCCCCCTACCCTTAAAATTTAATACATGTATCTGAGTAAATTAAATACAATAAAAATTATACCTAAATTATCAAATAAAAAGCCAACAGACAAACTACAGTATACTGATTGTGGGTTTTGTTGAATCAAACAATGTCAAACTTCTGATCTTATTTGGAAAACCTGACCTGGAATCTTTGATGTTTCCCCCAATAGAAAGGGATGCTATGAGTACATTAAAAAATACCACCTTCAATAGATAGCTAGGTCTTGCTTGTGTTGGTACTAGCCACATTGATGCTTGAGAAAAGAAGAAATTTTTAAATTAGAACCAGATACTGGCCATCAAAAATATAAACATCTATCAAAAACCACAACCTTGCCTTCGAATTTGTCCCTTTTTTAAAAAGAAATGTGTGTAAGGCCTTTCTCAGATCTTCTACACCTTGATGATGACCAAAGACAAACAGGCTCACCTGCATGAATGGCAATACTATGACAAGCAATCACCCGTTGCACATTTACCTGCACCACCACAATATGCCAGAACAAGTTGTGAAAAGACCCTGGGATGGTGAATTAGGCATTTCTTCAAACATGATCACATGCACAGCTTACCTGCATGGAAAAAGAAACATCTCACTTAATGCAATCCATGCAGACATTCCATCATAGAAAAACATTGTATAATTTGGTCATGAAACATCAGATTACACCACTGTAACCATCAAATGGAGAATTATGCTACAAAGGGTTCCCTCAACTGCTATCTGACATAACCTATTGCTCACCCAATGCCTATTGTTGTGTAAAGCAAGAAGACAGGATGGTCATCCCTGATATGGAATGGTCACATAAATTTTCAATATGTGATGTCCACAGGATTTGTGAAATACATCACAAATCTGATAAATACTGAAAACATATCATGATGAGGAGGCTAGATGCAATGGAATTGATGATATTTTTCTCCAATACCTAGTAACCAGGCATTGAAAGTGATGAGAGGAGTGGTGAGAGCAAGTAATCCTTGCTGTGATGAGTTAGATTCATCATTAAGATTTTGAGTATCTTCAGCTTCTGGTGAGGTTTCATTTAAAGAAATACTTTCAAGCAATACTCCTTTTTTTAGTTCCTCCTCATAAATTATTATTTTTTATTATGAGTTTGAGAATCAACAGTATTTAAAGATGATGGATTTGATGATGATGTTTCTAGGCTTAGAGTAGGACTACAAATATAACAATCATGATTGTTG